TTGTCTCTAACAGCTTTTAATATTCTATTCTTATTGGATTTCTGGGATGGTGATTATTATATGTCTAGGTGTAGTTTTATTTTGGTTATGGCTATTTTGAGTTCTATATGCTTCACTAATCTTCCTAATGTCAGTTTCCATTCTCATGTTTGGGAAGTTTTCAGAGCCCATGTCTCTCCCTGTGCTTTTGAGACCAAGTTAGCAACCTTCTGCATGATCTTGGGGTGACCTGTTGGGGTGACCTGTTACCACTCCTGTGCTGCCCTGATGTCTAAACATACACTAGGTTCTGTATTTCTAGATCCTGCACTTCAAAATGATTTTCTGCCAGTTAAATATATGGGAAGATTTAATGATTTGGGTGTCATTAAAAAGAATAAACTGAATGATGGCTAGAAAGGGAAGGATTATGTGGCCACCTGTTCATCTTGTTTGTGAAATTCTGCATCACCCCAAGTGATGTCTTGGTTCAGAAGGCAGCAAGCCAGAGTAGGACACAGAGAGGTATTTGTGTGGAGACAAAGATAGACAGGTAACTCAGGGACTCAGCAAGACCCTGGCTCAAAATAAAAAATAAAGGGTCAAAGTGTGACTGAGTGCAAAGTCTTTGGGTTCAATCATAGCACCACACACACACACACACACACACACACACACACACACACACATCTATGCACTCATAATACACACATGTATGTACATATGAATGCGTAGGTAAACACCTGCATCCTTACACATAAAATTTAAATGAAGGGGAACAGATGGAACACAATTTAGACTAAACAATTTTTGTTTACCAAGTTCTGTGGTTCCCTTTCTTCCTGGGTATTGAAATTTTTTCTTTACTATCTTTTCCTGCTCATTTGCCCTGGATTTGTTCTGCCTTCCCACTTCCATCTCCACATGGCACTGGCTCTCAGGCTCCATCTGCCATCACCTTCTCCCCAGAGAACTCCAGGGGCCCGGCCAGTCACACCCTACTCCTCCCTTCCCAAGGATGCCCTCACCATTCACAATCCTCCTTCTGCCTCTGACAAATAAGTTTCTTTTCCATGGACTCTTTCTGATGTAAAGTACCATACAGCCCTTTAAAAAGCAAAGCCTCCTCGATTAAACCAGCAGTCTGAGCTCCTCATTAGCAAGTATAGCTGTCATCTGCAGACACGCCCCAAGGCCACCTTCAGAGTTATCTCACTCAGAGGCAGCAGTCTGGGCCTTCTTTGGGGACCAAGAGAAGCCAGGCCTGCCTCACCACAGGCTCTCTGTGCCCCGCTGGCTCCCTCTGCAGCCCTCTGAGTACTGCCCTGCTCTCTACCCTCCTCTGTTGTCAGCTTTCTGCTCAGGAGGGGAGGTTCATTCTGCCTTAGGGCTCCAGACAGACCACCTGGATCTGTGTTTGGGTGCCAGAAAGCTTCTGGGAATTCTGAGTGCCTAACTCATTATCTGTGAGAAATACCCCCAACCCCAAGCAAAGGCCACGGGAGGTCCTGGAGACTCCTGTGTTTGGGTTTGGGTGAGTGGAGAGGATGTGCACGGGGAAGGAGGGCCAGGTGGAGGACAGCTGTTGACAGCAAGGCAGCCAGGAGTCGGGGGAGTGAGGGACGATTCTGGGCTAATGTAGCTTGGTGGCTCAGACAGCATCCTAGGATTGGAGTTCCTGGTTTCCACACCTCTTTCCTCTGGCCTCCCCTCGGGAAAATCCGTTCTCGAACCTTTCCTTTTGCTGAGATTATAAGAAATTGGTCCTGGCCCAGGGTGGTGGTGCTGTGCATACAGGCTGTGTCCTCCCAGGACTGCTGAGTGGGCACAGAGGTCTGCAGCCCACAGTACACAGCTCGTTCTTGGCCATGCTCAGCGCAGGTGAGCTCAGGGTACACACGGCAGTCCCCAACCCCACAGAAGAAAGAGCTCCTGCCTCTGACAGACCTCACCAGTCTCCAGGACCTCCTGTGGCCCTTGCTTGGGGGTGGGGGTATTTCTCACAGATAATGAGTTAGGCACTCAGAATGCCCAGAAGCTTTGTCCAGTGGGCTTTGAAAGTGGACAGTCCACAAAAAAACAGCAGCAATCACATCCAGATAGGGGAGGGTCTGTTTGCATCTCTTACTTAGTTTTTTTTTCTATTAAGCTAAAAACAGGAAGGAATTGAAACTTTCTTTCCTTTTTTAAAAAAATAAAGCTTTTTGTTGCCATTTGAATCATCCAGCATTTATCCTGATTAAGCCTACTGCTTGTGGGCCCACTCTTTTGGGGAAGCGGAAACTTTCTGTACGGAAACTTTCTGTACCGTCTGCTGACAACACCTAGGGCTCTTTCCAAGATGCCTCCCATCCTATGAGAATCCAAACTGTCTATCTTGTGAGCAGTGTTAGAGAGAATTCTAGGTTAACCCATTTATACCAGAGACGGAAATTCTAAAATTTCTGCATGAAATTTATGTATTTTACCTAGAAATACTCAAGGAATATGAATCTGCAGACATTTCATTATGTCTGTTGTCACAGGTGCTCTAAAAGTAGGTCACCAGACATTGGAGGGTTTCACACAAACACTGAAAATAAGGTGACATTGCTGGCCTAAAGCTGTACTCTGCAAGGACACTGGGTGGTGGGTTTGTCACTTGCTCCGTGACTCCATGTCCGGAAGAAGGCCAACCCGAGTCGGGGGCTGGAGGCTGGAAAGTGGGTGTTCCTGGGAGCTTGCCATGAGGGGTGCCCTGAGGAGCACTGCACAGGCTTCATCCAGTCCCTCGACCCGCACCAGGCAGTGCGCTTGCTCAGCAAGGAAGCCAGGGCCAGGAGGCTTAAGAAACTAGTCCAGAGTCACAGCGGGAGGAGAGGGGAGCTGGGGCCTGAACCCAGTTTGTGGGTAGAATGCACTGGTAACTGCAATGCCCCGTCTCCCTCCCTCCGCAGCAAGAGAGGCAGCACATGTCCAAGGCCACGAGAGGCTCCTCCTCTGGCAGGACCCCGAGTATGAGCCTCAGATGTAGCTGAGTATGTAGCTGAGGTGATGGTAATGTCTGGAACACACTGTTTTGTGCACTGAAGTCTTAGCTACAGGTGAAGCTCTTGAATACAGAACTTCAGGAAGCAAGCTTTGGGTCAGGCAGGTTTTCGGAGATCATTCACAATGGAATGAAGGTAGAGGCCTTTGTTTCCTATCTTTTTATTTTACACACAAATCAAAATGAAGCACAGTTATCTCCATAGGGAAAACAAAATTAATTATTTCAAGTTAATTAAATGAAGCCATTGCCAATGGAATCCAGCACATAAATCCATCTGAGGAATGGTTACCAGATGGCTCAAGCATGCAAAATAAAGGAATCAAGGGACAGAGTGAGGGACATCCGAGAAAGAAAATCACTTTAGAGAGAAAAAAAGAGGGAGAGACCACAATGCTGCCACAAGCACCCATGGTGCCTTCCCCAGGGCCGGGTTCTAGCCTGCCTTTCCTGTCACAAGCCACCAAACCCTGCATGGTTTCAGCTTTTGCTCCCATCCTGTAAGTTACTTCAGAGCCTCTGGGTCATTTCCCTGTTCTCTTTCCTTCCACCCTCCAATGAATATTTGTCTTTTTGCCAGTTATTGGTTCTCCCAGAGTAGGACAATCAAAAATAAAATAGGAAGATAGCATTGAGGCCTTTTCCACAGAAGCAGACCATATCAGCAACAGGATACTAGCCGGTGACTGACAGGAGACCCGCACACGGTGAACACCATGGGTTTTACTCCTCCATGCCTCTGTTTCCCTACAGATGCCACAGGTGGGGACAACCCAATCTGTCTCTTCTCTTTCCCTAGTGCAGTGTTCAGCAAGGTGCAGGAGGCCTTGCAGGAAGCTCCTCAGTCAACACAGTGAGCAGATCAGTGAGTAAGTGAGGTGTCATCTTGTCTCCCCAGCAGCTATTCGGGCCACTGTGCCGGCTTCTCGAGTTCTGTTTCTTCAGTGTTTTCGTCACTGGTCGCAGTACACAGTGACTGCGTTCCTCTCCCAGCATGGCTCATGTGTCATTTCCTCCTTTGTGCCATTTCCCCCCTCGGTCCCCTCACCTTTGCAAAAGCGCTGTCCCCCCCAACCTCTTTCACTTCCTTATGTGCAGTGTGACTTTTTCACCTAAGAGAATCCATGTAACGTTCTATAATTTTCAAAAAACCTCCATAAACCCCTGAGACTTGTATAAACTCAAGCCCACCCACGTCCCCTGAAGAACCACTATGAACTATCAAGCAAGTTTAGGGAGAAGCACACTGCATAGACAGCTTTGTTATGGGTGGGGCAGGAACGGTAAATCATATTTCTTTCTCTTCAAAGATAGTCAGATTCCTATTTTCTCAGTTCATTGAAAGAAAGGTTTGTGCTAATATTGTTTGAACCAGATATGATGCCTGTATCTTGTACTCTAACCACTATGAAGACAAAAATATGCAATTATTAGAACTGTCCTGATAACTATTTTGAAACTGTTTTACTTTTTAAAAAAAAAATTAGATCCCACAAAGACAGTCACCACAGTTAAAACAGTTACTTCTGGGAAGACAAATGATGTCTGTGTGGACTGAGGTGAATGGACAGTGTGGGTCAGTGAGGGCATCGTTGCTTATGGCCTCTTTACACCCTCAAATGGAACAGCCATATTTCTTGATGGAATATTCATATATTTCCTTGTGGGTTCAATGCGGCCACAACCAACTCTTGAGTGATGTTGCAGATTCTTGCTTTTAATTCGATGTATTTTAATTTGTGTTCAGTGAGCTACTCCAACATATTGGCTTGGTACTGTAGGGACAGTTAGCTGTGTATGCCTCATATTAGGCACACGTCTAGGAAAAGATAAGGAAATCAGTAAGACCCAGCCAGAGCAGGCAACAGCATTCCCTCCTGCCAGGAGTGCTGTCCAGGGCATTGCCTGCGGGGGAGGAAGCCGCTCCTCCGCCCCCGACTCCAGCAAGCCAGGCTGCTGCTCACCACTAACACTCTGCCGCTGTGGCCTTCAGTTTTCAGGACTCTACCTGCTGTCCTTCTTCACCATTCTCATCGGGCTGGTGCTGTACTCCTCCACCTCCACCTACATAGCCCAGGACCCCCGTGTGTACAAGCAGTTCCGCAACCCTGTGGGGCCTGTCGTGGACTTGCCTGCCTCGGCCCAGGTGGAGCCCTCGGTCACCTACACCAGCCTGGGCCAGGAGACGGAAGAGGAGCCCCGCGTGCGCGTGGCCTAGACGCGGCCTGTGCTTGCCTCCCCTCCGCCTTGTACATAGAGAAAGGTATTTACTAGGTGCAGCTCACACAGGTGGCTGCAAGGTAGCAAGTCCTGGGAGCCTGGAGAGGTGCATGCTAAGGGACCAGGCCAGCACGCCTGCCCAGAGCCACTCAGCAGTGTGCACCTGTCACAACCCCCACGTCCGTACTGTGACAATGCCCCCATCAAAATCCATGTCCTTGTTCTCATGAGCTGTATGATTATTCTGATGCCTGTCTCCAGGGGATCTTTGGACTCCTGATGGGACGATGGCCCAGGCCCACGCAGTCCACAGCAACAGTGTCCCATAACAGCCACTTCTGAAGGGTCGCGCTTTAGTCTTTGCACAGACACTCAGTGACATGTGCCACAGGAGCACCACCCTGAGAAGTGTCGTGATCCTGGGCCACAGCGGGGGTTTCTCTCACCCTGTCACATGCCTGTCTGCTCAGTAAGTATTTTATGCTGCGACCCTTGTGGGTAGGGGCAACTGACCACAGAGTTCTCTATTCTAGGAATAGATTTAAAACAAACACTTTAGCCTTTTTATATTTCAGTCTCTGATTACCCAGGCCATTGCCTTTCTTTTGGGCCACATAATTCAGCTAATCAAGTCCCTGTAATAACGGGATAAGAACTGTCCCATTTCTGTGGCTTGGGGGAACCCCAAAATAGAAGCATTTGTGTTTAAGATTAGATTTGTTTTCAGAATTTTTCTGCCCCTCTGTAAATCACCTCTTCAGATATTATTTTTTATTTTCCTCCTTTTTCCTAGATTTTCTTAGTCCTACTATGGAAATGTCAAGGCCCAGAACAAAGCCATGCTCCCCCATCCTCTTAGTGATATAGCACCTTTTTGAAATGAACCAGCCGGAAACCATCTCCATTGTGGAGCGGCATTGATCACGCCACCTTCCGAGGTCACGGTGCCCACATGGAGCCGTCCCTGTGCGGCTGGGTTGTGGTGGTGGATGTTGCCACTGGGGAAGTCTAGTGAGGCAGTCATAGTTGACAGGTGTGGGACAGCAGTATCCTCGTGGGTGCAGAGACTACTCTAGGTCTCCATGAGCCCTGCACAGTGTGGCTCTAGCCTAGCTGGGTGCCCCTAAGTAGCCGCTTCATTCTAAACACAGCAAACCAAGAAGCACAGCCCCCTGTCAATTAGAACAGATTCCAGATGTCCGTGTGTGAAGTGCGTTTTAAAAGGCTGGGCTGACTTTAATGCCACCCCAAGGGTGGCTTTTGAGGGGCTTGCATAACGTTTATGTGCCCTTGGGCAATTCCAATCCACACCTCTTAGGCAGGCAAACAACTCATAACGCTGGAATCCACAGAGAACAAACTGTGGAGTGGGGCTTTGAGGATATGCAGGCGAACACAGCCCATACTGTTCCCAGCACGCATGTGACCTTTGCACATGACTTCCATCCAGTGGGGTCCTGCCACAGATGATGGGGAGAAACCCTCCTCTCCCATATGCAGTCTTCATGGCCACCCCTCCTCCTCAGGAACAGGCTTCGTGTGCTGTGGGGATCAGGTCAACCTGAAGCTCTGTCAAATCAAGGTGACCTTGCTACCTTTGAACCAATTAATACCTTTCTCTGAATTCTTTTCTCGATTCAGATCTGATGACCTTTAAAGATTGTGGTTTTATTTTTGTGTTTACATTTCTTTGGTTTGCATAATTTGCTCGATTTATTTGATTTGTAGTATTTATTTTAAGCCAAATGTTTTTGTCTTTTTGATTCACTTTTATGATGCTAATCTATAGACACTTAGTAAAGTCTTATGAAAAGCAAGTGACTGGAACAATTTCTAAGTCCACTCAGTGAACTGGGAAGTTCTTTTAAAAATGCAAATTTCCAAAGGTTTGCAATTGGCAATGGCTGAAGTTTGCCATCTGCATTACTTTCTAGGATGTTTTGATTGACTGCTGTTTGGAAACCAAGTGTAAAGGTCAAGGGAAACTTCCCTATGCCCTTTGCCATTCAGAGTCCTTGTAATCAGACCTTCATGTCACAGGTCCCCTCGCCACCAGGCTGGTTTGTCTCTATTTAGAAAGGCACAGAGGTACTGAACCATCCATGGCCAGGTGCTCCAGACTCACCCACAAGGATAAGGGTAGTGGAGGACAAAGTTCTTTTTCTGTAAAAATATCAATCCTTTGGGAATGGGGAGGGAAATGGAACAGGGCAATATTAATTCTAGCAGTTTTAGTTTCTGACACTTCATAACCTCAATAGAACCCAGTAAAAATTTCAGCTCTTCAATCCTCCACCACTCTTCCTCAATAAAATGAGACTTTCGAAATCTGCATCCAGTCTGATCCAGCTCTCTCCTGAAGCTGCCCGCTCCAAGGTAAGCGTGGCCCTCACGTCCTTGACAAAGTCTTGCACTGGGATGAGCTGGTCTTGGTCACACCTTCCCCCAGCTCCACATGTGACACTCATGTCCGGGTAAACCAAGCATGGGAACAGTTTGCACCACTGTGTCCCACAAAAATGTTTCAATGTTTAGTTTAGATATTGCTAACTTGTGCTATTAACCTTCTGACAAGCGTGTAGTATTGTTTGTTTTGGTTTATTTTTTATTTGTAACCACTTAGTAGTCCCAGCTAGATACCACTACAGATTTTACCCCATGGGTAGGATTCTATGGTTAAGCCACATAACAAAGCACACTAATCCTGACACTGAAAATGGAAAAATATGAACCAAAAAAAAGAAAATTATGCCAATAAGTTGTTTGTTTTTTGATATTTGCATGCTCCCCTCTGGACTGGCTGTGGCAATGTTATGCCTGTATCATGTTTTCAAATAAAAATAAATGCTTTATGAAAGCACTTCGTTCTTGGATTTCTTGAGTGTTTTCCATGCTGTGACAAGGAAGCGGGTCTCTTGGGATCTTGGAAATAGCAATGAAAGCGATAGCTGGGTACAGTTCAAAATACAAACCAGCAAGAAAATATTTCCAAATTAGGAAAGGCACTGTTGGTCTCTGAATTATAGCTCCAAAAAGCCAAATCAGACTCATTTGTCATTTGCAAAATTAGTTATTTATCTGGGTACTGTCAGGCTCCAGGGCTACCAGCACAAGCCTGCATTTAAAACACACAGAGCAAAGTAAAGGCACCTTAGGGCACTTTCTCATGAAGAAAGCTCTGTGAATACTAAGCATTCTCCCACACAGAGCATCTGTAAAGCAGGGACCCCCACTGGCACCCTGTGTTTCTGGCAGAACCCTGACTCCCAGGATTAGCCCTCTACTGCCTATCGTTATCCAAAATTCAACAACCTAAGGCAGATGCTGCCACATGCTCATGTTCCTGTCGTTTGTGTTCACGATCACACCTCCAAAAGCACAGGCCCACTGTGTGTCTCAGTTACATGCTCACCATAGTTTTTGAAGAAAAGTGTGTTTTCCAGAGAAAAGGCACAGCACCGTATCTGCTTTATGAAGAACTCTGGAAGGTATTCTAGGGTCGACCCCTAAAGAGTCAGAACAACATGCATTTCTCATAAACTTCTTGCAGAACTGGGACCCACAGTTGAAAAAAGATGTCTTTGAACAATGTGAATTTTTCTGTATTGTTTAATTTTATTTAGTAAACTCTTTGATCAAAGATGAAGTAAAACTGAGCTTTAGCCCAGCTTATATCCAAACGCCCTACAATCCCAGATGATTAGGGTCCAGTTAGCATGAACAATAAGTAGACACATCAAGTTCCATCTTTCCCCCATGCTGAATTACAGTTTTCTTAAGAGAAAGAACTGGGTTTCCTAAGTACTTGAAAGATCTCCTGTGCTAACGTAAGGGAGCACCGGAATGACTTTCATAGCTATGGCTCTGAGGCAAAACAGCAAAAACTAAAATGCAGCAGGAGGGCTGTAACTTCTCATTTTTCCCTCGTATTTCCCAGGAAAACAGGTCTCAGTGTGTGCCATGCCAGGACCCAAGGCCAGGCTCGGGTCTGTGCCAGTGCAGCTGAACCCCAGGCCCACAGATCTCACACTTGCATGCTTTAAACCATTAAACAGAGGCATGGGGTAAGAAATTCTACTACAAAACCATTTTTCCTCCTACTATTCCTAAGGACAATTTTTACCATAAATTCCTTTTCTTGGAAAGGAGGGAATCACCCAGCCCACCTAAATGCTCCAGCTGGAGAACTGAAACTCACTTTTGGTGTTTGGTCCTCGGGCAGAGGCTTGGGTATGAAACGACACTGTTTGGAGTTTGTCGCCTACCAGACTCCCATGTGCTGGTCTCTATGGCTTCCTTTCCTCCTATTTCTTCCATTTTCTTCTTCCTGCAAACATGGAGGGTTCATTATGGACCATCTAGCTGGGTCTCCACCCCGCATCCTCTGTATGGTCAAAGATGTTGAATTCAAAAACATTCTAAGACAGCTGGAAGGCCTGCTCCTCCAGATAGCCCGAAAGGACAAGTCATCGTCCTCAGACAGCCAGACAGGCCTTGCTATGCATGGCGGCAGTCTGACTAACCAGGAAAGCTAGTGACAAGTGGGAGGAGGTCTCGGGGAGAGAAGGGCCATCCAGCTACAGGGAGGAGGGGCCATGGGATGGCACTGAGCTCTGAGAAAGCAGGAAAGTGAACCTGTCACCCACTCTCTGCCTTAGCACTAGGACAAGGCCACTTCGGGGCAAAGGCAGCTACTCCCTTACACAGCTGGAGTAATCTTCCTAAGCACGCTGCCCCTAATGGATGGTGACAGCTAACTGTGCCACTTACCTGTTCGGTGGCCTACCTAGTGACTGTCCATACCTCAAGACATGTTTTCTTTCTCTGTACTGAGCTGTGCTTCTTGTTTATCAAGCCTCAGTGTCTTTTCTGTCACCTTGTTTCTACAGCACTGTAAATTTTGCTGATCGCACTATGTGGTACTATAGTTAGATGTCCTGTTGTACGTTACAGTACCGCCTGAAAGAACTGTGCTGAATGAAGCAAAGTCATCAAGTTGGAGCTTCCTTGGACCACTTCTTTGTCTGAATATTGAACGTACATAATACATACAGTCACTGACCAACTCAGCTAGTGACCCTGGTCGTAGGAACAGGACTCAGTCATTAAAGCTGGGTATTCATGTGAGGTTCACTAATTAGATGCAAGAGCTGCAAGGCAGCATCTGGCAGGCAGAGCTGCAGCTCAGGAGCAAGGCTCCCACATAAGCCCGCGTCTGGCCGCAGGCGGGCCAGACGCTTGGTGCAGACTGGTCTACCCAGGGGAACCTGGGAACAGGGTCGCTCACTTCGTGAGCAGCACACTGTCTCCCCACATGGTGCTGCCCCATCGGAGGTGGACCAGTGGGCAGGAACCTCGGGCATCTCCTCTCGGAGAGCCGCTCTGCTTCAGCACTGCCCAGCGCTCAGGTCTCCTTGTCAGAATCACCCACAGCTAAAGTGCCAAGAAGAGAGGAATTTCACAGCAAGAGGTCAGCCACCATCACTCTCGAGTCACTGCCAAATGTGCAGGAGAAATGTAAAAGAACAACAACAACAAAAAAAATCCCTTGAGGGTGAAGGAGATAGTTTTGCTAGAATCATTTAGAAGTAAATTACAGAAGCCAGCACATTCCTACATTTCAAGAGATGCTGACAGTAAGTCAGTCCACGGATGTGTGGATGCAGAGTCCTGGTGGAGAGGAAGGTGGTTCTGGGTGAACCGGAGGCACCTGCTGGACAGCAGTAAATCCAAACTTGGGACCCTCCTGGCAGTGTCTGCAAACACCACTTCTAGGCTGTAGCTCAGGCGATAGTTCCTGTTTTTGCACAAAGGTGGGTCTCTTTGCTGGCTTTCTTAGCTTTGTCTTTGTGGGCAGACAGAATTACTTCCCCAGCACCTGAAGAAGCCTGGTAAATTTTAAGTAAGAGTAATAATTGCAGCTTCACAGATGGCTAGCCATGTGCCAGTATGATAGCAAGCTAGAGAAGCAATAAAAAATGCTACTCGTTCTTAAAATGAGTAGCATTGTAAACAAAATTACTAGAGAAAGAAGAAATGGGCTAAACACTGGAATAATCAAAACATTCTCAGTATGGGCTCTCATGAGCTCTTGTTTGACTTCTCTAAGGCAGTTTTTGGCCTCACATGGGATGTTAAAATCTAAACTGATCACGCATGACACAAATGGTTGAGTGACTCCCATAACTGTGTTATGTCCCCAAGATTTTGTCCACCAGGCTGCATTTTAATTAAAAGGAAAATTGTCAGGGGTAGAGGACAGCTTGATACCAGGAATTAGTAGTTGAAGACAGAGATTCAATTCTGCATTCAATCTTCCTTTTGTAACCCTGACTTTCACACAACAATGAAGTCCATTTTCACTGAAGTCACAAACTTCAACACAGAATTTGAGAGGAGGAAATTGCAGAGATCACTTTGTTGACAATCTTAAGTCACTCTACGGCTTTCGAGCTGTCTCAAGGTGTGCAATGGGGGCTTAGGAGTCCCCCAGACCCATTCCTCCTTCCATGCTCCCCACCATCTACCCTGACTGAGCCTCGGATTTATCATCTTCTGTCCTTTCCATCGGCATCGGCCAGGTCTAAGTCTTGGTGTCCCCCAGAGTCTTGGGAGGTGCCTGGGGGATGAAAAGGATACCAGCTGTGAGCAGGCAGCCTGGCTGGATGGTGCCTCTCCTGCCCACTCCTCTGTGCTCTGGGGACCAGCAGAGCAGAGACCCTGGGCAGTGACTTGGTCTGCTGAACATGACACTAGTGACAAGAGGCCCTGATGAAGCTGCTGCCAGGATTTGATGAAGAGGTTCCTGTGCCAGCGATGGCTCTAGGCCTGGTGTAACCTCCGTTCCTGTTCTGGGATGGGTTTTCTCCCCACTTATCCATCACGGGACCCCAGCACCCATGCGTGTACACAGAGGCCAAGAATTCACTGTAGCCAAAGGCCAGGGGCTCCAACCTCTCGAGGTGTCTGGGAACGAAACTGACCTTGGAGTCCATGCTGCAGGCTAGTTTCCACACTGCCCGCCACCTGCTGGGCCTGTTTGTCATCCACAAAGTGCAGCTGTGCGCGGAGGTGGCAGAGGTGCACACCCTAGCACTGCCCTGAGATCAGCAGGCCCAAGATAGAGGTGCAACCGCAACCACGCTGCTTCTCGGTACTAAGGCAGAGTTCCCATCTCTGCTCCCGGGAAGGAAGCAGATTTGCAAGGTTCCATCCACAAACCATGGCCTTATCGCCCTGGGAACTGCACTATCTGGAGGGCGTACAGGGCAGCAAAGTTGGCCTTTATCACAGAGGCCCACAGCATTCGTACACCATGAGTGACTATGAAAATGCCACTTGTCAACATACCACCCCTCACCAGAACGTCGCTTTCGAACAGTGCCTTTCGGGCTGCTGGCAGTGAAAGGTTCCTGCCCTGGTATAGATTACCATACAGTTAGGGCGATGGTGTAACCAGCAGGAGGCCAAAGTGCGAACGCTGGCCCTGATGGCCACTCCCTGCTTCCCCCTCTGCGCACGAAGACAACTCCAAGCAGCCCTCAAATGTCATCAGTGCCCACCCCATCCACCACTTCTGATGAGAGGCCACACAACCCTCTGTCCCTCTGTGTCCCGGTGGAAGGAGACAGCCCAACCCCTCTGGTTGTGGGCTCTTCTCTGTGTCTTCAACTAAAGGGCCACTTTCACTTTCTTTCCTCTGCTTCTCTATGATGCCAGAAAACTCTAACAGTAGGACACACAGGCCTCTAAGTGAGCTTGATGGTTCGCTTCCTGTTGCCACCAGCAGTCCTGAAGATGCCTAGCTGGGTCCCCTCCCCACGACACACCAGTGCAGTCCTCGTGGCACGGCCTCGTCCT